TGCGTGTTTATGGACCTCGACTCCGTCTCGGTCCATAAACACGCAAAAAAAGAACTTGGCCAATATCCAGCCATCTTGACCTCACACTTGGACAATAATCTATATATATCGAGACGACTATTATGATGTACAATTGAAGATTATGCAAAGGCTGCTTGCAGCCTGCAGTATAATTATAATTGTACGAATAATAGGAGGCGAGATATAACAATTTAATTCCCTCCCACCACTTCCCATTTATGTATATTAATTTCTTTTCAGGTTGTTAGCCACCAGTTGTTATGCTCAAAATAAGGCGAGGTTGCTAAGGGGCGCCGGCGCATATGGGCAGGGTGACCTCGTTTTGAATTTTAAGCTGATCTTTCAGATTTGTGAGCTTTAAAAATGCTGTCATTGAGGTAAATAAAGGGCAATTACATTTTTATATCTCGCCTCCTATTATTCGTACAATTATAATTGTACTGCAGGCTGCAAGCAGCCTTTGCATAATCTTCAATTTACCGTTTGGTGTATAAACAAACTTTTTCTGGTCTGCTTTCCGCCAGTTGGGATTTTTAAGCCTATTATGTTTATTTGAAATATATTTCTTTCTTTCAGTTTAAGTATACGTAGCATGCCTGAGATCTAGCTTAGCTAGGTGTAGCTACGCGCATTGACCACTATAAGCAAACACCATTTGAACTTTTGTTTGTTTTTCAATCCAAAACATCAAATTAGCTATATGAAAGAAACTGTCCGATTACAAACAAACAAACAAACAAACAAACAAACAAACAAACAAACAAACAAGCAAACAAACAGCGCTAGAACAACACACAACAGCAATATGAAAGAAGTCTGATATGTTTCAAAACACTGCATGTGGTTCAACCACGACTCTTGTTCTTTGAATGGGATATTTTAGAACACTCGTGGCGTTAAAAATCATTTTTTATTAAAATAGGGAATGAGCCTGGAAGAGGAAGTATCTTAACAGCTGAAGGTCAAGAAACGCTGTCAGTGGCTCAATCAGTACTGATGGCTCTTATTGAAAGCATTTCAAATGCGTCAGTCACAGTTGAAATCTTAGCTCTTTTAAAGAAACACAGGGAGAAATTCTTGGAACTCTTAGAGATCTTGAATAAAGCTGTCAAAGAAGGAACTGAGGCGAACACGAGGGAACAAAGTGAAAAAAACCTAGTTGAGCGATTTCAAGAAATTGAGGAATTTCAAGCTATAAAAGTGAGAGTGGTGTCCTTCGTTAACATGTGTGATTTGATTAAACCAGGTGAGATTTAACTTAGTAGTCAACAAGTCTTTGTACTCCGCATAATGCGTTAATTTATTAAACATGTTTTCTTCCAAATGGAATAATTGAATACGTTTGCGGCTTGAATTTATCTTACCCGGGAGACTCCCTTGCTCAAAGGTCAGGGATGCTCTTCGTCTTGCTTAGGGGTGTAAATGAAGGACTTTGGTCTTATTTATGGTGTTCAGGACGAAACGCCACTATTTTTAGCCGTCAACGTACTTTTTAGGGTTACACTCGAAGAACTAATAAACAAACGCTTTCATGTCCATTTTAAATAATAAACTAGACACTCTAAGAGCGTTTACTCCAGCTTCATGTTCAGCTGCAATTTTGCCACCCTTTTATCCTGGGCGTGTGTGTTTGTAATATGTGTGCAACAAAAGCCAACGTAAAAAGCCAACGCTTTGTGAGATAAGTGCGACTTCGCGCGGCACGAGTGTAGCTTGTTTTAACAGCCTTTAATAATACACCGTTAATTGCAAGTTCACCAGCATGATTCATCTCTAGATTACTTACGCCACGAGTTTGGCCATAGGTCTCCTTTGATAATTTGAAGAATGTTTCCAATATTCTGCAGAATATTCAGTGAATATTCCGTGATTAAGTTAACGGAACTTAACAGGCGATGTGCCAAGAGATACATAATGCATTAATTTGGAATAAAAGATTTATTTGTATTCAAGGCAGGTCTGTATTTTACGAAGCTCTGTATTAAAAAGGAATAATTACATTCGAAGCTCTCTCGACCAAAGAAAGTCGAGGGGGGAAGAGAGAGGACCCTGGGAACGAGGTTGGGATGGTCACAGGTTTTCAATTTTTATGGCCTTTTTTGAAAGAAAAAGCGAATCTATTGACGCACACAACACCTATTAATAGATCGCGATTTCTCAAACAGGTTCTGGCAAGATTTTAATTAACTGGTTCAATACGATGTTATAAGAGTAGAGGCTCTGTCAGAAGATGGAAAAAAATTTGGATTTGGAATAGACAAGCAGATTTTCATCTACTTAACCATCTTTTGATCTTGGGTAAACGACATATTTACTCCTGCCGTAATAAAGAATTTCTTCTGTCATTAAAAATCTACCTCGCAAAAGTGGCCTCAATATATCAAATTGAAACTACAATCGCTGAATTTAATGGTAAGCGAAATTTTCATGACGTTTGGTATAGAAAATTTATATCGTATAATTGCACTTAATCTGGTAGCCTGAGTGTTAAGGTAAGTACTACTAATGAACCAAGAATACAATGACGCTTTATAATTTTTTATAATGACATTTTCTTTTATTCTCATTATTTCAGTTTTCCCTTTTTATTCATATCGACATAACCATAACTACTACCTTACCACATTTTCCTATAGAAATAATAATGTCTTTGCATATGTATAGTTACATTTACACGACGTTAGTATATTTTGTAGATTTACTCTATGTAGCCATTTAGTGTATTTTAGTTGTAGCTTTTCTCTCTCTTTTTTTTCGTTTCCTTTTTTTTCTTTTGTAAACATATTATGTTAAATCAATAAAAACCAATTAAATACGAAAAAGTTGTCCATTTTAAAGTGGTATCTTCTGAAGGTCAAATAAATTTCTAGCCGTGTCCAGATTGGTCTGCTTTAGGGATTTAATTCAAATTTTCCGACCAGCATCCCCAATCTTTGCATGTGGAATTTCCCCTCCTCGGGGAAATTGCACGCTCCGTTGGCATGCATCATGCTGTAGGAAGAATGTTATGATTCATCGTGAAGGGAGAATTTTAAGGCTTGAAGTAGATTGATACTATGCCTTTTATACTTGAAGATGCAGATCGAAACTATGTTGCTACTTTAAATGATGCTCAAAATCAATACTTTGTTTCTCTTCAGTCGACACTTCCAGCTTTAAGAACAAATTGCGCCCAGATGTCTCCCGTCACCAAATACGTCATTTGTGCGAGCGCAAAAGTGACAAGCAAATTGAGGTGAAATTCTTTGAATTGCCTCCCGTGGCTAAAGAAGTTATTTGGTCACTTCATGACGTACAAGAAAGTCTAACTTTCCAGGATATTTGGACACAGTATGGAAAGAAAGCCCAAACAGCCAGAAAGAATGGCGAGGGAAAGATACCACACCTTAGCATCTCCGAAGTCGTAGAACATGTCTGGAAACCAGCTTTTCGAGTTTGGAACCAGCATGCAGCTAGTGTCATGAATGGAACGATATCCCTTGGAAATGTTGACAAGCTCTTTGACCGCTACAAGAACAGGGAAAAAGATCTTAAAGGAGAGCTGTTGCGCATGTTTAAACTTAGCCAAGGTCAATCTGACTGTAATGCAGACAAGATGCTGAAAATAACTGCTGAACGCATCACTCAAGTACAGCGATACCAGCAGATTTCTCGGTATGCAAGTGCCGCAGACACAATCTGGCAATTTAAGAAAGCTATGGGCTTCTCTGGTAACTTCAAAGTTATCAACCATTTGTGTAATCAGGTATCTAAATTTTATTTTTTCCACCTTGTGAGTCAGATTCTTGTAAAATATTTAATTACACTAAAGATACCTCCTAATGATGATTTCCTTGCTGGTGTTGCAACGTTCTGTTGCGAATATGTCGCCCGTCGTTGCTTTGAAATGAAACCGTTTTTATGTGTAGTCTTCATATTTTTGTTTCCGTATTCGCTTCCTTAATCTTGCATGTCTGGTGTTCTAGAGCATGATTTTTTTACAGCGGAATATGCAATAAGACTCTGCTTTCATTCGAATTTAGTTTTCAATAGATTTCAAGCAAAAGCCCCTAAACAGCATTGGAGGAGAGTTTTATGAGGCTGGCCGAGCACTTGAGTTTTTCGATGTCCAGAAAGTAAATTGTCTCAGAACAATGGTAGAATGCAGACGACTGGTGGGGTGGCTACGTACAACTATCAAATGTAAGCACTCTATCTGTAAGGACCTTCAGTTGGCTGAATTAATGTGCCAGTGAATTCACAGGCCACTTTAAAGTGTTACGCATTCAGATGTAATTTCTAAAATACAAGGGATCTCTCCGACATACGTGTTTATCTCGTAACCAACCGCGAGGGCGGTATTGGGAGAATATCGGGACGAAGTCTTGACAGCATCAACCAAGCGCGACTTAGTCCCTACAAAAAAGACTAAGGGCTAACATTCCCCCCGTATGGTCCCGAACAAACTTGTTTAATGAGGAATTTTTTTACACGACTGAAAACGTTTAGAGAAAATCCCACGATCATCGAGTGGCAAGGCAGTGTAAAGTTCCAGCGCCCAATTCTGGTTCATTGAAGAGAGCATACTTAGCCTGTACTCACGTCTAACATAAAAAAAAAGGAAAAGAAAGTCAGTTGTGAGAGAAAGAGAAGCAATCTCTGACGTGAAAGCTAAATCTTTAAGCAAAGTTAGCCATGAAACTACAAGAAAATTTTTAAACCAAGCGGGATCATTCGGTACAGTGCCCGGTCTAATACTTGGGAAATATGGGACCGGCAATAGAGTAATCTGATAAGCTGATTTTAGTTATTGGCCCTCCGAACTAAGTCGTGTAATAATTTTAGGAACTGCATGAGACATGTTAATTGGTTTTAGCAGCAAAAACCAAACTTACTCTACCAGAGTGATTTCTGTTGCAATTAATTTCTTAACTTTTTGAATGGCTTTACAGCAACCCAAGAGCTTAAGGTTCTTGTTGACCTGGCCTTGATCTCAGCGGGTGAAAGCGACATGGAAACTGACCGCATTTCCAGCCTACATACCAGCTGCTTAGGTTTCGCTCCTTTGATCTTTGACCTCAGAGAAAGTGAAGAACAAAAAGTGAACTTTGAGGACCTGGTACAGGCTTGTGATCCCGTGTGGAAAGCTGTAGCGGCAGATGATAGTTTACCCCAAAAACTAGTAAGAAGTGAACTGCACTTTGTGTTCTTAGATATTGATTTCATTATAACTAAGTTCAACCTGGACTTTTTCTCGTCTTCTCTTCATTAAGAAGGCTAAACATAACACAGGGGGCAGTGGAGTCCTATTTGAACGTATTTTCAGTTAAATTCACCGAAGAAAGGTAGCGCGAATCGGTCTATTGTTGATTCAAATTACTGTACGTGATCAACTGTATACGTGCGATTGTGTCACGCGTCTGTTGAAAACATATCCGCAAGACGAAAGCCGCGTACAGTAATGTGTGTGTAATGACTAGGTATGGTATCTGTTACTGTGGATGGATAACCGGACAATCACTCCAAGTGACTAATCGTCCCAGGGGTGGAGGGGGGAAGTACTTGAGTAAATTTTTGGATAGCTGTGTGAAGGCCGCGAAGGGTCTGAAACCTTCATCCTATTAAAGGATGAAGTAAACGCATATTGATACCCTATTTAAGGCGCAAACCCGACAAATGACACCATAGTCAAGGGAAAAACAAAAACTAGGAACAGCGCGAACGGGTCAGCTCTATTTTGTTTCTGCAATATTAGAAGTTAAGCATCAAGCATATAATATATTTTGTTTAGCTAGACGTTTACGCAATAGGTACCCTATCTAGGGGTCACCGGGAGCACAATGTCAACAGGGCCAAAAGTGATAGGCTACTCAAGGATCGGGAACCTCAAAAACCATACGCTATCCCGTGCCACAAACCTATATAGCCAATATATGGGAGCACCTTCCCTCAACTTCAGGGTTAACCGAAAAGAAAGAGACAAGGGATGAAAGCAATTTCGGTCAATTTTTGAATAGACCATAAATCTCGCGAAATCCAACTTTCGGGCAACGATTTTTTAAGCGTTGTAGGCTGAGGATACCGGTGACGGAAATACATCATCAGGTGTAAGGTAATGCGTTATACGCAGGATCGGAAGTAATCTTTGTTAGTAATTGTTTCCAGAGAATGGGAGACTGCGCAGAGTACCTAATTCCGGAAAACATTCTATCTTTTCGCGTTTAACATCGGTGTCTTTGGGGATAAAAGAAACTCTGCTTGCACGATGGATAACCGGACGATCAACTGTTTTGAGATTTGAATAAACGTAATTAAACGTGCTTTCAGCATGCGGTACAGATCACAAAACGCGACGTCCGTTTCCGTCAGCGGTATGCTACGGTCCACATCCAACGAGTCACGTGGTGGTCAATTTCATCCGTTGTCTCTTTTTTTCACTCATTCATGCGCGCATGCACAATGAATGGGTTTTAGCGATGGTGGCCTTCATCCCAGAATCTGCTTGGACTTTTAATCGGCGTAGAAGGAAAATAAATGTTGATTAATTTATTGTGATGTTAACCGGAAATAACGGCGCAAAAAGAAAGAAAGCGAAGCTCGTTGGCTAGGGCTCGAACCACGGCCTGAGGGTTTTACAATTCCCAAACCGTATCAGATTGTAAAAAGTGAAGAATGTACCACGCTTCAAAAACTAATCTCTTTGACCACTGGGAACAGCGGTCAATGATCTTGACGTCGTCAAGGTCAAAATTATGATTGTTTTGTATGCAATGTTGGGCTAATATAAGAATTCCTCTCTCCCGTGAAAATCGCTCTCTTGATCATTGACCGCTGTTCCCAATGGTCAAAAAGATTATTTTTAGAATCGTGGCACTCAATTCGCGAACCGAATGCTATTAATGAACACATTTACATTCCTGACATTTACAAGGCCCTTGGCAATCCCAAGTGACGTTTGCGCGGCTCTTTTAAAGCAATCATTTGCATTCGTAAGTCATTTATGCTGAAGAAGGTTATAGTATTTTAACCGAAACGTCCACACAAAAAGTTTTTTAGTCAGCGACAACAAATTTTTAGTTCTTATTATTATCATACCTGACTACAACTATGGTATTTTTAATCTCTACGTGGGAAGTTACAAATATTTCGCCTTTTCTTCTCTCATGTGCTCGTGTGACCAAAGTTTTCTTCGAGTGTGGACGGGCAAGGCTAACATATATTCCTTTTTTAAGGTCTGTTCTATCCCTAGGAACGACGTGCGCTGCAAAAAGATTACCTAATATACTTAGTTGCGCTGAAATGAGTACGTTTACCTGATCTAAATGTTACTAATGTAGCTTCTTCTATCGCTGATAGTCGTACGCTAAGATCGTCTTGAAATAAAAATAGATGGCTTCTGAAAAACGCATGGTCTTCAATACGCCTAACTTGGAAAATAAGCGCGGTGATTCCCCATTTTCTTTTTTTTTTACTTTTTGGCAAAAGTTGATCTTTAACTCACTGCATGGCTAGCTTTATAAAAAAGTCTATTCGTGGGAAAATTTTGGGCGCCAACGTCCTTAAAAGTAGCAAATATTCGCAGTTCTTTCTTCTGTGTGCTTTTCATCGCCCCGTCACTTTCTCTGAGGAACGTTTTTCACCTCCAACATTGCTATTTAATTTGTTCATAGTATGACACTAGCAGGCATCTGGAGTGGCTTAAAAGCATCCAGGAATCACATGGTTCTGTTTCCAGGACGTCCTTAGTACAGGTTAGGACCATCAACTCCTGCGGTGTGTACATTGTAGGTCACGTGGACACCAAGAGTTGCTCGCCAGCAGAACAAGGAAGACGGTTGTCACTTAATGATGTGATCCGACTCTCAGTTCCTACGAAAGGTGGAAGTGGAGAAGTGCAGAGCAGAACGTACTCTGTTGATGAACTGACAGATTTGCAAAGTAAATTGATGTTGATTGCTGGGAAGGCTGAAAAGGGAAAGGATGAGGTTGAACAATTTGTAAAGGCAAGTTTAAAGTTATTAAGTAAGCGCGATCGCAAATATTGTAAAGAATCTTTAAGGTGGGAAACGTTTTTTTTTTTTTTTATAATCATTGCACGTTATGTCCAATAAACACAATAGTATCGACCGGGCATAGACATAAGAAATAGATTGGAAATGTTGTTTTCTAACCCCTGTGAAATTTAGGTGGAATTCAATGTGAAGCTGGTGGTAAGCTAGCTATGATGTCGCTTTTACAATAGTTCTAAATTCTTAACTTGCAGAACCTTGAGGGCGTCATGCGTCTAGCGACGGCTTACATTAACCTCACCGAATCTGGTTTTGTTCATTGCTTGCATTGGAGTAAACAGTTTCACTGTAGTAAAGATCAGTTCAAAGGCGAATCGATCGCAGATGAGCTGGCAGCTGAAAGCGCGTCCATGGAGAACTGTTACTCAAACTGGAAGAAGAAGGTCAGTAATGCACGAAAGGAGTATTGGGAGTTGAATTTCTTCAGCACTCAGCAGTTGATGCTACTAAGGAAGGAAATAGCCTCGGTTTGCCGCAGCGAAGGACTTCTTGTGAGCAACCTTCAGGTTCTTACTTTGCTTGAAAGTGTTCGTCCGAATTTAGACACAGATCAGTTGAAGGCAGCAATAGATCGCGCTTTTAGAGAAACAGAGCTATCAGACAAGGCAAAAGGTACTGCCGACCCGCCATCGTTTCCTCAAGTTCCTTTAGAAGCTGAATTTGGTACTCGTAGTTCAGCGTTTGATAACAACTACATAAGTATGAGCCCCTCAGCGGTAGCCAGCACAAGTCCCATTAAGAAGCCGAAACCGAAAGCTGCTTCAAAAGTCCAAACGTTTCTGAATGCAGCTGCAAATGATGGTTTCTCAGAGCAAGTTGCTTTGGCTGCTTTGGCGAGTCTAGGTCTTGATGCAGATGAAGATGACCTTCTGTTGTGGTGTTCAGATGAAGCTCACGAAGCGGACATCGAGGCTCTTTACGAAGAAGCGAGGCAAAACCCCATAATTGGGTCAGAGGTTTTTTTTGTTGGAGATTTTGATGAAATGCAGACCGAGGATGAAAGGTAACTCAGTCATACCGGCGTGCATACGTACATACATCGTAACTTTTTCTACACTCGGATTAACGAGACTGAGTAAACTCATACGTACTGCTGACACACAAACTTCATACCCAAAAGTCTTCAACACGCACATCACTTTTAGTGCTGGCTTCTTTGAGGTTCATGATTTATTTTTTATTTTTGACGACACCTAACAAGCAGTCGGAGTACAATAGGCCCTTTGCACGACACGAAAACATGGTACAAAATTAGCCATGCTGGGATGCAAGTTACACAGTGGGATATCCAAAACAAATGAAAGTTAAGCTAGACTGGCCTGGTTCGAGTTACTTTGTTTGAAAGTCCCAGTGTGTTATTTGCCTCCCAGCATGGCTGATTTTGTACAATGTGTTCGAGTCGAGCAAAGAGCCGACTTTGGTTACGTCTGTGACAAGCTACCCCCATGGTAAATCGTTTCTGAAGATTTGATTGATCATCGCCGTTATGCACACAACTTAAGCAGTTGTGAAATTAAAGCCTGAGAAAAATTCAGGCCTGAACGGGATTCGAACCCATGACCTCTGAGATACCAGTGCAGTACTCTGCCATCTGAGCTATCAAGCCAACTGGGAGCTGGTCACATTGTCAGTTCGTAATATACCCGTATATGATGGAGAATACAAGTAAATATATGAAACACCATATATTTGAAATGCGGAGAAATATATGAAGATATGATTGATCATCGCAGTTATACACACAACTAAAGCAGTTGTGAAATTAAAGCCTGAAAAAAAATTCAGGCCTGAACGGGATTCGAACCCATGACCTCTGCGA